TGGGGGCGGCCGCGTTCTCCTTGGCGGGGGCCGGGAGCGGGTCCCTGTTCTCCAGCACCTCGATCTCCTTCTCCAGCCTGGGGAGGGTGTGGGGTGACGAGCTTCACCGGGCACTGGCGTGCCAGACTGCTCCGCTCCCCCCAGTCCGCGGTGTCCGCGGGGAAACCGAGGGCGGTGACGCCGGCGGAGCAGGCTGGGGGTGCCGCGGTGCGCACCGCCCCGGCCGGCGGATTCCGTCTTTCCAGTGTATTTATTTTTACAGGAAGTGTCCCGTCCCCAGGGAAACTGGAAAACGCGTGTCACTTTCCGAGCTCCAGAACACAAGCCCAGTGAAAACAGAACGGGACGTGAGGTCCCGTGAGCCTCTGCCGCCGAGGCCTTGGCAAGGGCTGCGGGGTGCGCAGGCACTGGCTGCACCCCGAGGGACTGTCCCTGGAGGCCGGGGGCAGGCGGGGTGTGACCGGGGCGCCCCGACAGACACAGCTGGGCCACCAGAGCCAGGCTGGGCCAGGAGGGCTCCCTGGGGGCACCGGGGAGGGGGCGGGCACGCAGGCACTGTGTGTCACACTCAGCAGGGTGCAAGTGAGCCCCCCCAGCCTACCTGCTTGCACACCCCCACCTGCTAGGCTGGTGTGGCCGGGCGCCCCCCGCTCGGCCCCCGGCAAGTCTCCCTGCCCGGTCACCTCTGGACCCCACCGTCTGAGGCCCAGAGCCGGCCTCAGCTTGCTAGCTCCAGGTGGGGACACCAGGCCAGGGAGCAAACCCTGGCTGACCCCCTTTTCCCAGACCCAGATGGGCGTCTGAGTCCCATGCGGAAGGGCCGGTGTCCAGCGGGGGGGGCCGCGCGCAGAGGCCCAGACGGGCCGAAGGGGCCTTCGGAATCTTGGCCACAGCCTCCGTCTCCCTGACCCTGCCGCCCCAAGCTCAGCCTGGGCCTCCTGCCTGCCTGGAAACCCCGGGCCTTTGTCCCAACCCCGAGGGGGATGGTAACGTCCCCATCCTGCCCCTCCCCCGGACTTCCCGAAGCCTGGCGGCCTGTGCTCTGTGGTGTCCATTAGAACAGAGCTGCAGGAGCCGGCCAGCTGGGCTGGCGCCAGGGAGCCCCAGGAGGCTGGTGCCGGCGACGCCCATCCTCGGACACTCAGGGGCCGCCACACGCCACATCCTCGCACCTGCTCTGCCGGGTGTCAGAGAGACACCCCGCTCACGCCCACCTCCTGCCCGCACCTCAGGTTCCTCCAGACACCCTGCCACCCCGCGGGGGGCCCGTCTGCACCCCCCACTGGGGAGAGGGGGGCCAGGCGCCCACCTGGAGATGGACTCCTCCAGGAGCCGAGCCTTCTGCTGGTCCTCCTGCATCTGTCTCCGCATGTCCTCATCCCCGTCCGAGGCCGAGGACGGCGTCCCCTCGAGCAGCCACCGCTCCCGCAAGGCCTTGGACTGGGCGCAGGGGCGAGGGCACGGTCAGCGTGGAGCCGGGCGGGGGCGGGGAGGCCCGGCCCTCTCCCTTCTCCGGCCGCAGGTACCTTCAGGTGCTGCAGCTGCCTCCGGTCGTCCTCCAGCTGCCGCCGGGTGTTCTCGATCTCCGCCTGCCTCTTTCTCTTCTCCTGGGGTGCA